AGCACTTGGACACGTCTCACAAATGAGCTATCTCCCTGAAATGTGGCTGGCCAGTCCTTATATTGACTTGGACTGAGCCTGAACTCGTACAACCTCTGCTTCCTTTGGTTTGACTTGTTCCCGGGTACCACGTGCCCACGTTCTGTTTGCTTCAGAATGCTGAGGCCTGGTACTGTCCCGAATTTCTATTGGTGTGCTGCTCTTAGGGTCTGTGAGCCACGACTTTTCGTCTGTGGAACATGGCTTTTGATGGTGGGTCAGTGTGGGATGTGACTCTTTCTTCTGGGACAGGACTGTTCACAGGGTGCCTGTTGGGCCTGACATCTAAGGTACCCAACTGTGACCTTTCTGAAATGGCCGACTTGGCCTCTTTTGATCTGAGACCTTGACCCTGAGATACGAATTTGGGGTCTGCATCGTGGAATGCGTTTCAAGTATGTCGTGCAGAAAGATAGACTGAACAACTTTTGCCTCAGGGTCACATTGAAATTCCTTACCAAAATTTGAAAAAGTACAAAATTTGTTTTCATTTTCCATATTTCTTATGATTTTTTCTTGGCTCGGCTGGGCAAGTGGTCCCGGGCCACTCTGTTAGCCTAGATCCAAACTCAGGAGCTGTTTATGAACAGTTATAGTGGGTACCATCCAGAAAAATAGGCTGGGTCCGTTTGATGCTTGGTGGTGTGGTCAGTTGTGTGGCGGGTGTCTGATGGGTCTGGCATATGGCTAAGAGATCACATTGTCTGACTAAGCTATGACTCTGATATGGCTCTGACAATAATCTTTCTTCTTGCTTGCGCTCTTGATTGGGTCTTTGATTTTGGTCTTGTAGAGCTGAAACCCTCCTCCAGGACATGAAGGCGATGTTTGGAAGTGGCGAGTGCAGCCTGCTTCGGATAAACTCCAGTAGAACTGTGTTACCGAGAGAGGACATCTGGTCACGTTGGATTATCCCTATCATTCAGTCTCGAGAAAGTGCTGCAGCTATGACAGCAAGGCGGCCATTTAATTTGGTGAGATTTCTAGTCCATACAATGGTGGTGGATGAGATGGGGTCAAATTGTCTGTGGGTTGCAACCTCTTTAAACTCTATTGTATGGAAGTGATTGTGTGTGCGCAGTGTCTGCTAAGACTTTACATTGGGAGTGGTACAAGATGTTAGCTTGCACCAGCGCAATTATGTTATTTGCACAAATTTCTACAGCTCGGGGAAGAAAGGCAGGGTGGGCAGAGAGAATATTTTACACACTTGACGTACCGAAGAAGGTACACAGTTGGGGAAGGAGAGCTGCCGTCTTCACCTGAATAGAATGCTGGGTCATTATAGCCGTATTTTGGGGACCTTTCAGTCCAGATGCAGCCATAAAGACCGGGTGTTCGATTTGGGTTAATATGGTAGTGATGGGCGAAAGCAAACCCGCTGCTGTCTCTGTTAGCAGGGGCTATTGCTGGGCACAGCCGGGTTTGGAGCGTCCCTTCTGGTGCAAGAATTCAAAGCTATCACTATGTTCATGTTCGTGATGCTGTCAGGTTTTGATCCTGGGCTGATTTGCAGAAGACTAGTTAAGTTCTGCACTTAAGTTTTGGGCTGTAACTCTTTGGGTGCACAGTACTTGGGGACTGCAGAGTGCAGAGTAGTTGGTTTATTTCTAGGCTGTTTTCCCGGGCGCCCGGGCGCCCGGGCACTCAACTTCTGCCCGGGTACACGCCCGGGTGCCGGCCGGGCATGACCCCCGGGCAGGGTTCCGGGCAGGCCCAGYGCCAAAAARAAAAAAAAAAAAAAAAAAAAAAAATTCGGCAAAAAAATATGTTGTGTAGGATTGAAATGCAAACCACTTTTGGCTGAGGGTCACATTATTTTATTTTTTTCTCGGGAAAGAGCGTCACATTATGATTCCTCACAGAATGGGAGATAAAAAAGAAACTAACAGAATCACACAAAGGCACCCCCCTTTAGACCCCTTTAGCCCCTTTAAAACCAATTTATACCCCC